GTACTTAAAACTCCGTGGGCAAGGAGCAGGACAGAGGAAGCCATATGGATCCTGTGCTAATAATGCGAAAAGCTGGAGGATGCCAGCCAACTTTTTTACGTATGTGTGAAAGTTTCCATTATAAAGATATTTTAAATACTGGATGGACATTTTCTGTCCCACTTTGCATGACTTCTAAGGTCCTTCGTGATCTCAATCTCATCTCCCGCCATTTTCCTTGTAGCTCTGCTCAAGTCCCACAGCCTTCTTGTACTTCCCTCAGTCTACTGCCAAGGAGTTTTCTGCCACAGGGCCTTTGCACTGCTATTTCTTCTCCCAGAAAGCATCTCTCTCTGATATTCATATGGCTTAAATTAGTTTTCTGCCCAATGTCACCTGAACAGTCTCCCATCATGTTCCTAAGGAAGAAAAGAGTTTTCCTTATAGTCTAGCTTTGCTCATGTTGGTTCTTGCCATTAAATTACATACTTGTTTGTCCATTCATTGTAGAACACAGGAGGGTGAAAGCTTATGTTCTCCTTTGGATACTGGCTTGCAGAACAGGGTCTGAAACAATTGGATCCCAGCTCATGGAATGCTCAGGGTGAGCTAAAGACTATTTTTCAGTTTTAATATCATTATTTGGGTAATAAGTTATCAAGAGCTCTCCATAAGGAGAGTGCCTAAAGTCCTCATTAGCCATATTTATCATGTCTAGAAATCGAAAAAACTAGTGATGTGATTCGGTGAAAATACAAAAAGACAGAGAAAAATACTCTTCTTAGAAAAGATTTCTGAGGCATCTTTCTCCTGGTTGGAGGGACAAGAAAGTAAGTTAACTTCTAATACATTCAGGATGCAAAAAATAAGTATTTGGGCCCTTTTTAGTGCTTTTGGTTCTGTCATCTGTCAGCCATCGGGAAGTTCGCAGAACTTCCTGAAATTCTGAGATTAACTTTTTGCTTACTTAACTCACTCAATAAATAGTCACTGCACGCTTCCCAGGTGCAGGCTTCTGTGCCAGGCTCTAGAGTTATAGGGTTACCCCGACAGAACGGGGAGGGTCAGTTCCAGGGAGGAAGAAAATAAAATCACTCTTGTTATTTTTGCAAACAAAAGTCATTGATGGTGAGTCAGATGTGGTGGTGCACACCCGTATTCCCAGCACCCAGGAGGCTGAGGCAGGAGAATGGCCATGAGCTTGAGGCCAGCCTGGGGCACATAGTGAGGTCAAGGCCAGCGTGAAGTGGCTCAAACAACAGCAACAATCACAGCACAATTGATTGTGGAAATTTTTGATATCTACACTTTGACTCAAAATGCTGGTAATGTAATTTATGATTAGTGTACACCTAGAAAACATCAACTGTGTTAACATGGTTTTATAATTTCTTAGTAACAAATCAGGAAAACAAATCAGATATTTTCTCAAAACACAGCTGAGTAACAAATTTATGTCACTGCTTACAGTATTTTCTTCAAATATTTCTGATATAAACAGAAGTTTCTTAAGTGCTAGGAAACACTCAGTTGTGCTTTGTGATAAAGGCTTGATTTTTTTGACTCATTTTAATACTAAAGATTGAGATTTACGAGGTCAAGAAATACTAAAGATTGAAATTTACGAGGTCAAGAAAACTACCAGGCTTCAGAATTTTATAGTGTCACTTTATGATAACATTGACTATTATAGTTCAATCGTGCATGATATACACACAAGATTATTAGATTAATAACATATCCTGCGGTTTTAAAAAGAAATTCTGGGTAAGGAAAGCCAAAGAGAATTTGCTGCACCTGTTATCTGGATATTTGACATTCCTTACAATGTCATTCTTAACCATCTCCAGAAGCTAGATTAATAGATGACAGAGGAAAAATGTGAATTGCATTACCATCTTCGAAGTGCTAATATACATGGTGCTGAAGACCCTCGTGAAAGGGGACCGTCTAATTAACTGTGGCATGCTGCAATTTTCACATCTCACCCTCCAGATGTGCAGAGGGTGAGTGAGGACGGAGCGCTCAGATCAGCAGGGGACCAGGGGGACAAATCTGAAGGCACTCAGGCTATCCATCAGGCACACTGAAGGGACGGTGCCACTTGGTAAAATGATTGACTTATTCCTAAAATAAATCTGGCTCTGGTTCCTCCTCGGCTGCATTCTGGGAACAGCCAGAAGACCGCTCGCCTCACCCTCGCCGGTCGTTCTGTGCTGGCCCTGTCAGTTTCCAATGGTGAGAGCAAATAAATGGAGGTACTGAGGACAGACACGCCGTCAGTCAGAGCGGCCAGCAGGAGGAGAAAACAGATCTGCCTTTAGAAAAGTGAGCACAGTAGCCTGCATTATAACTTAGAGTCCACGTCCCGCACAAACTCTCCACGTCTCTGAAATTGGATGGTGACATTTCTCAGAGGTAACTGGCAGTCCCGCTGTCTCGTTATGCACACACGTGACCTTGGAAACTCAAGCATTCAAAAGCGGTAAGTGCAACGACATTTAACTTGGCTACTTTTTTAAATGAGCGATTTCCCAATAGACGCGTGATGTTAGGTAAGTAGATGGTGACAGGGAGCACGATAGGTAGGAATGGCCTAAGTGGCCACAAAACATAGCCACATCATCTCCAGTGGGCATACTAGCACTTCATGGTTATAAGTTAAATGCCAACATACCTACAATGCATTTCAACTAGTACTTAAGCTGTAGTAAAAATCTCTCTTTTCTTTAGCTTCTGATTATGGAATTTTGGGGGGGAAATACTGGAGCTCGAACTCATGACCTCACGCTTGCCAAGCAGGCACTTACACCACTGACCAGATCCAGGAGCTAAATTCCACGCCCGATTATGGAAATTTTTAAACATACATGACAAAAACCAAAAAAGCATAACAAATCCCCGTGCACCTATTACCCAGTTCAACAATTATTAACATTCTGTTTGTTATTTCGTTTTCAATTACACCTCTATTCACTCCCTTATCTACCATATTGTACAGTTTTTAAGATAAAATTTGAAACCATATTGGACAGCACAAATAGTAAATGCACAGGTTTGTTAAATGAAATCATCATGAAATCCACTTGCCTATCACAATACAGAACATGTTGTCTCCACAGAAAGTCAGTCCCATGTGCCCTTCCTCAGCCAGACTACCTGCAGACAGAATGTCACTTATCCTACAAAGACGTGGTTTTCTCCAGCAGAGGAAAAGAAATTAAGCAAAACCAACTGCTCAAATCCAACATGATTTGTACTTAAGCCAGTCACACAAAGGCTTGTAAGAAGCTTCCCATGGAAATGACAGAGTAGGAAGCTGACATCCAAATAAAGCCAGGGCGCTGCTCTTTTCCCTGATAGCTTACAGAGAGGAGCTTTCAGGAAAAATATGAGGCGTCCAGCAATGCATAACAGAAAACCTCTGCATCTGGCGTTTACATTTATTTCCTCAGTGCCCCCAGCAAAAGCACAGTTCCATAGACACAATCCAAGCAATAAATAGTAACAATACGAAGTGGCAAAATCAGCAAGATCATTATAACGGCATTTTTAACTGCTCACTATAGTCAGCACATACTTGGAAGAGAACATGAAATTCTCTACTCTTCCTCTCCAGAAAACTAGTAACTAGTAACAGGAGCTAGTGTCAGAGGTGGAGAAATTGGGGCTCAGAGCTAGTTCAGACTGCTCTGTTCACCGCCCATTCTGACCAAGATGGCATCATACAGATAAACTTGCTTACTACTGACATCATACACAGCCTGACACTTTGTTCCACCTGTCTTGTTTTCCATCCTTGTTACTCAGTCGTGCTTATAAATCTCTTTCCTCCTCCCCAGGAGGCCCCGCTTAGGCTCACAGAAAAGACTTGGCTCCTTCCCTCCGGGGAGGAAGTACACTTTCTATGATTGAAAACGGGATTGACTTCCTGCCGGTGTGGATGATGCTGAGGGAAAACAACTTCCTGCCTGTGTGCAGAGAGGGGTAGGCAAGCCAGGCAGGTCTTGCTCTCGGCTCTAGCTTCCCCAGTCACGCTGGGTGGGACCACAAAGTACATTAGCCCCTTACCAAGGACCAGTTATCCACCAGACACTGGGGAGCAGAAGATTCCATCAGGACCTCAGATCCTGGCCACCATCTTTGCAATGAATAAGGTTGATACTATGATCAGAATATGGGTTTTGAGTCTCTTTCTCAAACAAGTTAGAGTCTGAGGAGGAAAGCTACAACCAACGAGAGTCCCAAAATTCTAAGAAGCCATGATCTTCACCCTTTGTGTCAGCTCATTGCATCTGGACTATATATTTTCCTTTTTGGTGTGCTGTGAGTTACATAGTCAAATGCAAATATGATGGGGCAGTTATAAAGAAAAGAGGTTTATTTAGTTCACTGTGTAGGATCCTGACACACCACGGCAAACCACAGTTTGATAATTCTTTTCTCATTCCTAGTGGTCTATGTCCTAGAGTGCATGTCCTGGAATGTGGTCTTCAGTGTGGTGATGTTGAGAGGCGGCGAACCTTCCAGAAATGGAACTTAATGGGAGGGTTTCCTGGTTCCTCCCCAAGTTCTACATTCCATCTCATTATTCCATCCCATCCATCCCATCTTTCCCATGTGCCGTCACCATAATGCCACCCGCCATGAAGTCACTCAGCTAAGAGGGAGGAAGGGCTACCAGAGTTGAAGCTATGCTGTGTGATGTTTCAATATCCCAAACAGTGAACTGAAGAAACCTCTTTACTTTATGACTACCCATCCTCAAGTATTTTATTACAGTAGCAAAACCATAATAATATCACTATCATCAATGACAAAAATATCACCACCAACATCATCATTCACCAACACCAAATACTATTACCACCAATATAAATCAACACCGACACCACAACTCCCAATACCACAAGTAACTCCAGCACTAATACCACCCCTGCTAGCTGACTAAGTCTTTAAAATTGAGTTGCAAATTGCAGGTGACATGCATATAACCATTCTCCTGCCAGTGCTGCTGTTACCTTGTTCTCCTCTGGAGTGAAGAGGACTCGGAAAACAGATGGCACTCCAGGAGCTACTTTGTGGCCAATGTCTTTGGGGCTGATGACCTTAAAGTAAGGTGAACTTTCCTCAACGATTTTCACCATTCTTGGAATCTGTAGGGAAGATACAGAATGATGGACGTGTGAAAAAGAAAAAAAAGCACACACTTTGGAGTTAAACACAGACTGAACTCTAAGTCAACTACTTCCCAGACACGTGACCTTGCTGGGGTTTGAACTTCAGCTGTCTCAGCTGTAAAGAGAGATGACAGCACTTACCTGTGTCCCAGTGCTTCACAAAAACCCCTCCGTAGAGTTTAATTTCAGTATTTATTAACATTGCTCTATGGTAGATTTTATTATTATTACAAGCCTTTTCTTGTTTTATTAAATGTGATAGTCTTCATAAACTAGACGCTCCATCACTAAAACCACACCCACGTAGTAAAGCTGGATTTCCGAACGTCTGAGAACTGCTCAGGCAGAAGAGATCACCCTTACTGTGGTCCTTCCTTCTAGGTCATACACAGGACATGGGGGCCACTCCATAATCACAATGGCTTTGGAGCTTCATCCTGATTCCCATAGGAAGCTGGGAGGCAAGTCCCCACCAGACTCTTCCTGCCTTTCCACAGGATCAGCATCACCCAGGCACACACCACAAGAAAGAAAACAGAAACGAGACCATGTCCCCCAAGCCAGTCTCTGGTACTTCAGTTTTATCTCAAATGTTACTCTCTGTTCCCTCAGCCTCCCCCAGGCTGTGCATCGGTGCCTGTCTTAGACCTGGAGCAACAGAAGAAATGTAATGGTAAGGAGAGAGGGGATGGTTCTACAAATACAAAAATGGGGAGGGGACTTTTTTTAATGACTCAGAGAGTCAGAAGATAGTTAACGGTGACTAAGTTAACTAGTTAAAGGATGACCTAAAGGTTCAAGTGAAAAATGATTAAAGGACACCCAAAAGCTCTCAAAACTGTAATACAGGGAAGGTAGGAAGAAATGCAAAAATAACTGGGGGCTTAAGATCAAGGCATGGGGAGAGAAGGAAGAGATGTCTGCAGATCTGACAGCACCAGAACTGGCTTCCCTGGTGAGGAGAATGTGCAGCAGCATTTGTGTTATGCTGTATTACCCAAGGTAAACTCTCTGAGGGGACATTTAGTAAGGGGCGTAATGGCCATTGATAAGCCAGAAAGGGAATCAACAGTAACATCAACAACAATAACAATCATATTGGTTTAGTGTTTACCATGTGAAAAGCACTCAGCTGTACACATTTATTATCTCATTTAATATTCAAAATACTACTGAAATTGTTTCTGTTGTGGCTTGTGTCTAGATTGCCCCCCAAAGCTTTATGTGGTTGCAGGAAGGGCTTTTCAGAGGTGACCTCATCTAGGGTGTGTGATGCTGGGATTAATGGTGTGTGATTACTAATTAGTCCACTGATTGGTTTGGCATAGCTCTGGGTAGGATTAAGGGTGCCCCACCCTGGGTGTGAATGCCAAGGGCAGGAATCCTGGATACAATGTAAAGGAACAAAAAGAATCTCGTTGCTTGTTGCTTGCTGCTTGCTGTCTTTTGCCTGCCATGAGCTATTTGTCCTCTGCAATTCCCCTCTGTCGTGCACCTGCCTTGGAGCCAGCCAATTATGGAATGAAACCTCTACAAACTGTGAGCTAAATAAATTTTCCCTTCTTTAACTCTGGGTTTTGTGTATTTTGTGTCAGCACCAAAAAAATTAAGACAGTCTCCAGTGCTTGAAATGACTTGTGCAATGTCTACAGCTAGTAACCCCAGAGTCTGGGAGCTTATAATTGTATTCTGGGTGGAATCACCTGTGGTTTATAGTGTTCTTAGCTTACTCTCACTCAGTGTGTGTGTGCATTTCAGACAAAGAAATAATGTTCAAACACTTTTTCCTTTATACTCCATGCTAATGAGGAAGCAAATAAAAGTGAATGGCATAATTTTCTCTGTTCACCAAACCCCTTCCACACTTTCTGTGAGCCCAAGAACTAAGGAATAAGGAGGCGGGCTTCCATCAGCCATTGTTACAAGAGTCCTGATGTAACACTTGAAAACAATCTGCTTCGTCCAGAGAAAGCTGTCTGCTTTTTAGTAGCTGGACTCTCCCTCTTTCTTTCCACTAGACTCACTGGTTGCATCTGATAAAGTGTTATTGGTTTATCAATGAGACTGGAATGCTCTTTGGCAGACAAAACTTGAACCTGTTTTAAACTTTGACTTACTTATATACCCTCACTGATGATCATTTCTTTTTAAGGAACAGGGAGGATTGACCAAAGGACCTTTTGGACTAGCCAAACTCTTGTCTTTAAAAATCTAAAAATATCTGCAAAAGAATAAAAAAGTAATAAAGGGAAGAGAGAATTTAAAGTGAGAAACTAAATTGGTTGGCAGCCCTACATGAAAAGCCCTAAAGTCTAAATAATGTACCACTTCCTGAGCTCTAGGGACAGAACCCTGAGTATCTTGGATTCTTTTTCATCTCCTTCCCTACCCTTCAGTCTTTGTCCCATGGGCTTCTCTTGCTAACAATATTGCAGCAAAAAACTAAATATACCATTTTCTCCAGTCTGGCTCTGCTGTCAGTACATTGCCCTATGATCTCTGAAAGGCATCACTGATTTCTTTAATGAGCTACTGTACTGAATATAACTGTTAGTCTTCTCGCATGCTTTGGATTTCTGCATTGACTTATTTTCTCTCTCTCTTTTCTCCACCTCTTACAGTATGGTCTCCACTTTCTTAGATGCTTATAAGTATCCCTTTGTGTCTTTCCATCTAGTGTTTAGCATTCCTCTTTGCGTGCCTTCCTTTACATCTGATTACTTTTCACACTTAACAGTCCTTCCTGCAGAACTTCTGCATTACTCTTTATTCCATTATTGTCAGATATCGAGGAAATCCTAGGTATTAATATTTTTCTTTGATAATCCTATCTCTGAAGAAAAAGACATAAGGCTGGAGAAGAAATCCTCAGTTGCAATCAAAAAGAAAAAAAGCATAGACAGTGAGAGAAACCTTTCAAAACTATCCGTAGACAAAATCTGAAGGCTATTTAACATAAGTGGGAAAGACAGAAAAGAGGGAAGAGATTTCAGTTTTTTAGATTAGAAAGAATATTTTTAGAAGCATAATTCACAGAATATAAATGTACTGCAAGATGCAGATATAAATGCTTAATATTTGCAATTCATGTGAATAGAGTTTATACGTTAAGTTAGGAGAATGGTATCTATAATGCAGAACGAGCACAGCTCCACCAGTCAGACACGAGAACTCCAATCCATTCATCTAATCAATCTCTCGCCAACTAGGAGTTAGTGTGCATGTGTGGAGCTTGGTATTTTCTGAGCACCTCACTGGGATTGAACATACGGTAGCAACAACAAAACAATCCTGTCTTCATAAAGTCTACAGCTGAAGGACTTTTCATACTAAGTGTACCAAATTAAAGAACTTATTTAGGATCCCACAGTATCCCCAGTTTACTTAACCTCTTCTCATATGTCCTGGAAAAGTTTATCTCCCCTAGGTAACACACTTACTTTATCATTGTTCCTCAGAACCAGTGGAACTTCATAGACTTCACAGGGAATGTAGTTCTGGAATGTGATTTCTGATGGGAAGGGCTGGAATAATGCCTGATCCAAGTCAACTCCGGAAAACTGTAATTGAAAGAGTAAATTATTCATATCATCACACAGTGGTTGGGGAGGATATACTTGTAAAACTAGAACATGAGGAACACTCAAAAAGGAGTAAGTAATATAAACCTTAATAGTTATAATTAGTGAAGCAATTGTGATCAACTTATTTAACATCAAAAAAGTAGAAATTTTGGTTCTCAGTTAAAAAGAAAATAAGCAAATATGAACACCATCCCTGGACTTTGACTTCCATTAGTGATGAATGAAGTCATTTGAGCCTACTCCCCTATGAAAATAATCAGGAAAGTTGTATCAACCAATATCTGGGTCTGGGTCTGGTGTGGCTCAGTGGTAGTCCATTGCTAAGCATGCATAAGGCCTTACATTTGATCCATAACACCACAAAAACAGAGACCAAACAAACAAAAAAACCCACGAAAATACTTCCTTAGCAGCACTGGAGAGCTAACAAGATAATAAGATAAAAAAATTACTGGTCATGCTCCAGAAGAAAATAGATAAATAGGGGTAGAAAGTGAAGTGACAGAAAAATAAAAAATTGAGCCATTTATTTTTCTTTTCATGCATTACAAAGGGCAGCTGAGATCTACACGGCACTTCTAAGCATACAGTAGAGACAGGAGGACAGAGCTTTGAATTTCAAGACTTCTTAAATTAGAGATCCTAAATGAACTTTCTCCCCTTTGACCCATGAAGGGGTACACCATAGAACAAGGCTGGTCTCCCAGGCCTTGAACATGAGTGAGGGAGGTGACTCCGGGTTAATGGTGCTCATAGTGGTCCGGCAAAGACAAACACATCCTCTCTGGATGAAGAGAACACGATTACAGCATTTAAATCATTTCTACCATATTCTAGTTATGACATTTGATGACTTCCAAAAATATATCTCAACCACAAAATGTTCAAATTACAAAATGATCAGAAATATAAGGAAAGAGTATAATAGCCATAAATGAAAACCAAGAGAAATACATAGTAGAAACAGCTATATGAGTCATGCTTACCCTCCACAGGAATATAAGAAACAAGGTTGAGAATTTTGCCAGAGAAATAGACAGAGAAAATCCTACAACTCAAAATTATGACAACTGAAATTAAGAATTCAGTGTGCATGTTTAATATAGCAGATTAGCCACACCTGAAGCAAGAATTATTGAACTGGAATAAAGATTAGAAGAATATTCAGAAGTAGGAAAAATGATTAAAATGATAGAAAATACAGAAGAAAGAGTCAATATATAGGTAATATGGTGAAAAGCCCAAAATGATTGAGAGAGAATAGGGTAAAAGCTACATTGATAAAATAATTACAGAGAATTTTCTGTAACTGATGCAGTCCCAAGAATGAAGATTCAGGAGGCCTTAAAAACTCAAGCAGGATTTTAAAAGATCTGTACATAGGTATTTAATTATAAAAGCACTAAAAACAAAGCCCAAAAACTATGCAAAAGAAGCTAAAGAGGAAAAAACAGAATATTTTATTTCCAAGCACACACACACACACATACACACACACACACACACACACACACACACACAAAGTATGTTGACTACTCAGCATAATTAACAGAAGCCAGAAGCAGGGAAATATTTTTTAAATTCAGGAAAGCAAAATAGAAAACTCTGTAGACAGAGGCTGTTTACCCTGGAAAATTCCCTTCAGGAATGACATCCAAATTGAGGCAGTTTCAGGAAGATAAACTTACAAGCTGTTGTCAACAATTTTTAAAGGAAATAAAAACAACAATAATAATAACTTATTAACGGGATATGTGAAACCACCTGGGCCCTGCATAACAGACCCAAAAAGGACATAGCTCTTTCATTTCCTGTTCTACTTTGATTTTGGTAAGGGACTGTACTTGCTTTTTTAGCAAGGCAACCACTGGAAAGGCAGCTTTGTAAAGTATTGTATCTTCCACGGAATACACTGTGATCTAACGCTGACACTATCCAATAGGTTTGGGGCATTAACATTTCCCTTGAAATTTAAAATATCCCATGATGCCTTGTGAGTTCGTGTGTGAAGCACCCAGCCACACAGTGCGGGCTGCAGTAAGAGGGCAGTGCAGTTAAGGCAAAGAGTGTCACCAGGGGGAGGACCAGATGACACAGGACCTTAGAACCTAGGGCACTGAATTTAGAATTTTTATTAGAGTAATAGGAAGTCCCTGGGCAGTTTTAAACATGGAAGCAACATGTTCCAATTGCATTTGTTTTTGCCAATTTGCATATTTATAATCCCTTTTGGAGCTCTGTGGAGAACTGACAATGGAGGATTGCAATGAAATGGGGTGATGTGGGCTACATGCTGGTGACCTCAACTGAAATGGTGGTGGAAGAAGTGGTGAGGAGTGCAGTGATCCAAGATCCATTTATGAAGGCAGAAGTTACAGTACTTGCGGTTCAATTATACAATAAGAAAGGCTATGGTCCTTCCCCCTTAGATGGGGAGAATGGTTAAGGTTTAGTTAATAATTAAAACTAGCAATGCTTAGGACCAAGAATTCCATGCAGATCCTAGGCAGGGGGAGGCGATGGTATAGCAAGGAGAGCAAAGGGACTTTGGGGCCTCATTTGCCAAGTGCAAAACCTCAAAACTCTGAGGAGCAGCTGGAGAACTCTTTGGAAAGGGACTCATCTCTAGCTGTGCAACTGACAGAATTTATGCATGAAAATGAAGTATGTAGCTTAAGAAATTAATTGAACGAGCAAGAAACAAGATCTTTTATTACAATCATATGCTTCTACAGCTTAGAACATACGGTTTCTACTTGAATACAGAAACATGTTAAGTGGCTGGGTTTTTTTTAGACTAAAAGAATACATTTGTTCTTGAAAGTGAGCCAAAATAGAGAACAAATGCCTACTTTAATAAACAGCTCTGCTTCCTTCCTTCCTAGTGAACAAGTCAGGTGAGGAGGAAATTTTTGTTACGCTAAGAGGATAAATTAATTGGATTTGGCTAATACAATTCTTGGAATTAGTCCTAACCCATAATCAACAATGTTAAGTTACATCCAGAAGTAGCTAAAAACAGAAGTATGATTGATCAAAGGTGGTGTTAAATATTTTGCTTATTAATTTGACTTTTACCAAAACACAGCTATCAAGATCACAGAGCTAGAAAAGGAGGGCATAGAACAAATGCAGTGAAAGATCAGGTACCAATGCCTATTTTTAGCTATCATTCTGGAGTATTCACGCATTCTGGTCTCTACCTTTTGATGTGTTGTTTCCTCCATATCTAAGAGTTCTATGATCTGTGGTCGGCACGTGAAATGTGTATTTGCCAGTTTCTGCTGTGTAGTCAGGGTCATTTCCTTCAGGAACTCTGAGGGTGTCAGCTAGAATTCAAAACAATAAAAGCCAAAGATTCATTAGCAGTTACACAGAAAAAAAAAAATTGCATTCAAAAGTGCTGGTAATGAATAATTTGTGATTGCAGCTTTCAGGATAATTCTGGAATGCCACTAAGTTCCCGTATAAAATATTTACAATAACTAAATTATACACGAGAAGTCCCTCGTGCACTTTTGAGGTCTTTACTCAGTAATTTAAAATGACATGTGGTTGTCCTTCCCCTGTAATTTTGGGGGAAGTGTGCAAAGGAACTCTAGAGAAAAAAAGTCAAGCAAGTGCATGGATGCACATTCCAAGAGCTTAGCATTTATGCTCAGAGGTGATCTCTGAGCATAGGACTGTAAGCCTGTAAAATCACGCATGGGCTTGAGAGCAACCCAGTTGGAAAAACTTCTGTTTCTTAACTGAAGATACAACATGAAAGCAAACCTTTTGGGCATTTAACTATCACATTAGATCACGTTAAAGGGAAATTTTGTAAAATGTAAAGGATCTTGGCAGTATCATTATTCTATTTAGAAACGAGTTTGAATTTTTAGAAATTGCAAGAGCAAATTGTTTAGAAAGAGCTTTTAAGCTAATCATCAGCGTTAGCAGCCAATCACATTCACACCCCTAACTAAGGGCACATGTTTAACAATTTATAACGTTAAAGGGAAGATGGAATCTATTATTTAAATGAAACTAATCTATCAAGGTATTAGTTAACCAGAACCAAAATTATTACTGTACTTAGTTGCCATTGTTCTAGAATGTTCATATTGTTCCTGCTTTATATGTAAGCAGGTATGATCTCTGGCAGCAACTTAAGTAATGGTAAGGCTTTGTAAAAAGTTCAGGGTATGTAGCTTAGCTGATTTATTTTACCTTCAGTTAAAGTCAGTGCTCTTTAAGAATGCTTGTTTTTCTACAAATTTGATTTTTGTGATTGAGTCTATTTAAATGAAGACATATTTCTAATATAGTTTTCAACTTTGTTTTTAAATTCTTTATGACTGAAAAACATATAAAATTAGAGTGATAAGAAGTGTCACCTCTATTGTGATTTAAATTAAAATAATGAAGTCCTAAAAGCAAATAGAAGTTTCTACAAATAATGTGCCAACAATCACCACAAAAGAGAATGATTGCTTTTATTTTCCTTTATTGGAATGCAACATGAAATTAGTTTGTAAAATGTATCGAATACTATGTGCAGTACTATAATTTTTATTAATATTTTTTATACCGTGGAGTTCATAATTTGGTTTTCAATAAAGCACTATAAATAATTAAGGCTGTAAATATTTTTTAAAGACAGAAAACTTATGTATTTCCCTAGGTACTATTTAATCATTACTTTAGTTCTTTATGTTCTACAAACAAAATAAAATAACTTTTGCTAATGTATAGGTAATAAATTAGGTTGAATTTCTGGAAGTTCTGGTATTTCACTCTTTCTGAACTACCCGAAGGATAGCTTTACGTGGTTCTAACTACTGTTTAGAAAATCTTACGAGTTTGTTTACACAGAGCTCTGGCCTGAGTGTGCCATGCAAGAAGTGGTAAGAGGGCCCACCACACGTAGCCGCCCAGTTTTAGACTTTCAGGTTCCAGAACCATGTGCTCAAATAAATCTCTTTTCTTTACAAGCCACCCAGTTTTAGGACTAAGACATAGGCTCTTATCCCAACACATTAATTCAAGCAAGTTGAGCCTTTACTTTGCAATGTGTATGTAATTTTAAAACATCTCAGGCTTTGAAAGGTACTTACAATGCGCAGCAAATTAGTATTCTAACTAACAAGTTAGGATCTTAGTTAGGAATTCTAGTATTTTTAAAACGCCAAGAAGCAATTATCATTGTCCTGAAGAGGCTACATCAACATTTTACACAGAAATTCCTGATACGTTACCATTTGGCTTACTTCCTCTTCCGTGACCATCTTTGGACTCAGGGGTGGTGAAACCTTGCTTTGGAATCCTTTGAGTATTTTGACTAATCCCATCTGAACAGCCCCCATGGACTCCTCAAGTCTTCTACTTGTCATTGTTAGTTATTTTGTTTGCTTACCTAAGAGTGAAAAACATTTTTTAAAAATACAGTTAATTTTGAATGCCGGTCATGATTTTTAAAAGCTTTTCCAAGATCTAGGAAATTTAAGAAATACTGGTCTTCAGAAATATATCAAATGGTTTGAACAAATACATTAACTAAGGGATTTATTCCATACTACTTGTCTAGATGTATCATTATTCCAAAATCTAAATCCATTTTAGAGACTCTAGATTAAGCCCAGGAAGACATGGAAATGCAAGCTACTCCACAATTGGTCACTTTTTTCTCCCTACAGAGATAGCAAACAAACATGCCAGATAAACTAAATAGTTTGCTATCTTTTCTGCATACTTACAAGATTTCTTTACTGACCAGCAACTCTTCAACCAGAATAAACACAAGGCTTCTGCTTCACAGACAGACAGACAGAGATTTTTAAAATGCAGAATGAGAAGTGATGGGGAAGAGGCAGTTTAAAGTTTTGAAGTTTATAGTCATAAATAAGCCATTAAAGCCATCACTTGGTGTCTCCAAATCAAGTAAATATGACATTTTTTTTTACACCCTTCTGCAGACTTGTGGTGGGAGTCTTTGGGGATCTGTTTATGACTATTTCTATTTTTACTAATAGGAAATTATTATTAGAAAGATATTCATTTTATTAGCAAGTTTTTATTAGCTATAGCAAGTTTATTATTCAACCTTTGTACTAATAAAAAGCCAAACAAAAACTTCTGGATGAAATGTCAAATAAAAAACCCAAAAACCAACAAGATGTGATGGCACATGCCTGTAATTCAGGTACTTTGGGAGGCTGAAACAGGAGGATCACAATTTCAAGTCTAGCCTGGACAATTTAGCATGGCCTTGTCTTGAAATAAAAATATATTAATAAAATAAAAAGAGCTGGGGATATAGCTCAGAGCAAAGGCCCTGGGTTCAAACCCCAGTACTATAAAAATTAACACACAAATAAAAATAAAGATTAATACTATTAAAAAGATCATAAGATGGCAAAGCATTTTGAGACCAAACATAAGGGAATGAGATGCGTACAGGAAAATAGACTTAAATAAAAACTATAATAAAGTACACTGAATTAAAGTCATAAAATATCTAAGAAAATGAATATAAAACTTAAAATCAAAAAGGGTCATTATAGTAGACAGCCAATGCCATTATAGATAGCTGTGGTATAAATGATATTCTGGTCAACAATGAACCATATTTACAGAAGTCGTCTCATAAGATTATAATGCCTACTGACATCATCACCTTCATTTGTATAAACGCGTAGTATGACATTTGCATACTGATGCCACTACCTCATGCGTACCCCAGAATGGTTCCCCACTGTTACGATATGCACGGCTATGGACGGTAGTGAAGCAAGGTCCAGCCTGCTATAGTCAGATGGCACCTATGATGATGAAAATAAAGAAATGGAATGGAACTCATGTTAAAAAATATAATCCATGAAAAATTTCCAGAAATAAAAAGAAACAATTAAAAAGGCCCAGTAAGTACCAAGGAAAATTGATCCAGGGTAATTGATTCTGAGTCATATCTTACCAGAAATTTTGGTCTTTAACTTTTTTAAAATTCTCATATCCTGCATGCCAAAAAGGTAAAATAGGCTATAAATACAAGAGAATTAGGTGTCACTGGACTTTTAAAAGGAAAGTTATTAGGTGAGACAAGAGTAGAGCAGCATATTCTAAAACTTTAGGAAGCATAAGCCAAGGATTTTATATGTAACAAGCTTTTCTGTGGTTGTCATGGCAACAGAAAAAGGCAGAGCATGGAAGAAAAAAAAAAAAAACCACTCAGGGAGTACGTAAACATGTTTCCTTCCCAGGGACTCTCCTGGAATATTGGTTTAATCCAATTAAAAGATAACTTGGGCATTTCAACAAAAGGACTGACAAGGAACATTTCTTGTGTTTAATTGGCCAGTTAAGATTAAAATGAAGTTCAGGACATAAGAATGATATTCAAACATATTTTCTGAGAAGGTATAAAGAATACAATTTTAAAATGAATGGAAAAAAGAGAAAGAAAGCAGAAAATATAAAAAGATCATTGACTATTGCATATGTATTAGAAGTTAAACTGATCAGAGAATATAAAAGAATTAAGGGAATTATTAAAGAAATCCTCTAAAATAGCAGTCCGTGATACCTGTTTCCTGGGATTCATATATTTATGCAATCCTATGTCTCTGAGTATGGGCTATACTTACATATTCATGTCTAATAAATATAGCACATCCTAAGTGACCAGTTAGTACTCTGAGATAAGGTTATTAAAACATTTAAATAAAGCTAGGCTTTTGTCTTGAGCATTCCCAGTCTCTCTCTTTGCCTCCCTCTCCTCTCTCCTCTCTTCTTTCTCCCACTGTCTTGGTTCACACCAGCTGTCACTTTATAAGAGTGCACAGGTAATGAGGACCAAGGTTCACCAGCAAAAATGTGAGTGAGCTTGCAAGTGAATCTTCCAAGGACGCCAGCAGTCACACAGGTGAGCTGGCAGGTAGATTTACCAGCCTATTTAAGCCTTGAGACGGTGCCAGTCCTGGCCAATGACTTGACTGAAGCTTTGTGAGAGATCGACCATACAACGTACCCAAATCTTAATCCTCAGAAATTGTGAGAAAATAGTATTTGTATTAGGCTCCTAAACTTGGGTACTTCCTTACACAGAAATAGATAAATAATAGAGGCACCGTATATTTTCAAAGAAATCTATTGAAACAGAAAGATTAGTATTCCTAAATTCAAAACTAAATTTTATAAAAAGCAGACAAGATTCCAAACAGGGAAAAACAAACAACAGATTAACATAATACACACAATTATTATAATATGAAATAGTACAACTGATTTGAAACCAAATTTATCAGGCATTCAAGAAAAGCAAGTGGGTTTAACTTGTCTATCAGAAGATAAACATTTCGACGAAGTTATAAAGAACAATTCATCTTTATGATGTGTACAATAGACACACCTAAAACACAGTGATCCAAAAGGCAAGAGCGTGACTCCATTTTGGAAGTCTGACTGCTTAGAGCTTCCCAGTTCCCTCCCTGCCTTTCTCCTTGTGCCCTACATCTGGGCAATCTGCTAAAGAGGCCCAGTTTTTCCCTTTGACATCAACAGGAAGCTCAAATAGCACATGGGGTCAGATTGCACAGGCCCCTAATTGTAGCCTAGATTGCCCTGATAAAAGAAAAATCAGTACCCTTTCTGTTATGTCCTTTATCTAGAAGTTTCCCTAAAGCCTCATGCACTCACAAGTGGGCTTTTGGGGCTGGCTGGGTCTAGGGGTTAAGGGCATGTGGTGCCAAATGAGTTCACTGGTTGGTTTAGCATGATTCTGGATGTCTATGGTGGAAAGGCCCACCGGGGTTTGATGGAAAGGACCACCCCAGAGGCTCATAGGATAGATGGCATAATAAGGAAAGGGAGGTTTGCTGCTGCTTCGCTGCTCCTCCCGCCTCCTCCCTGCCCTGTCATTGACTCTCTCTCCTCCGTAATCCTCCCCTGCCAAGCCACCCTGCCTTGGAGCCAGCGACTATGGACTGCAGGCTCTACAAACTCTGAGCTGAAATAAATCTTTCCTCCTTTAACTTGTGGGCACCAGGTATTTTGTCCCAGTAGCAAGAAAAGTAAGTAAGACACTTTTCCTGCTTTCTTAAACTCCTTTTGAACTTTTTTTGACACCTATCCTGTTACTCACATGCTGAAAGCCCCACTATGCGAGTAACAACCTTCTCATGTCTTCTGGGTGCCTGGGTGGGTGGCATCACTGGTCTTGACATCCATGCAGGATTTTTGTCAGGGAGCTCATACCATCTTTGAATATTGATGACAGAAAAAAAATTTAAAAGCCAGCCCTGTAATGCTGAATTAAAAATGGAATTTTTTGATCATTTCTATCTTCCTACTACCCTTAGTATATTATACCAATTGAAACCACCCAAAAATCTGATACAGACTTTGTGCATTTCAAATCTGCCAAGTGAAGCCCATTAACCTGTGCAAGCAATAAAAAGAGTAAAGGAAAAATGAAAATTTTACTTTATTTATGTAATTTCTCAATAGTATTAGGGATAGAACCAGACAGGGTATTCGACCACGGAACTACATCCCCAGTATTTTTTTTTAATTTTCTATTTTGAGACAGGGTCTTGCTGAGTTGCCCTTAAGGGACTTAAACTTGTAATCCTCTATTACAGTATCATTTGGGCTCAAATTTTTATAAGCAAATCCATTGTAGACAGTTTTTTAATGCTCAAGACAATGCTTAAAATATGTTTAGGAACATGTGTCAGATACTGTATCTCAGTAGAAAATATACTTCCTTAAGAGCAAATGAAAGTTACAAAAATTTAGTCATATATTAGGGGATAAAGAAAATACTGATAGATTCTGGAGTCAAAATATTATAAATGATATTCTAATAATAGTACAATAAAAGTAGAAATTAAAAACAACACACAACCAGAAAGACCTAGTCTCTTCAAAAATTTAAAACCTTCTACTAATGAAAAACAAAACATGAATAAGCCAAATTATAATTTCTTCTTATGTGATAATTGCTACAAAGTGCTAAAATCATGGTATATAAACAAATTGTCTAGCAAAATTTTATGTACATACATTCAACTCAGCATCCCCACTCCAGAAATCTGTCCAAATGGTACACTGGCTGAAACACAAAATGACACATAGATAATCTTGGTTACCTATAGGGGGAGTAAAAGAACAGGGTAAAGGAGGTGGGAGTGACAAACGTTTGAATGTACCTGGCTATACTGTTGAATTTTGAATCAATTAAATGTTTTACAAATCAAAACCCTAAAGAACCAAGACAGGAAAAATCCATTCTTAAAAACTGAAACAAATGGACGCTCCTGTGGATCAAGTTGATATTATAACCACAGAGAGAACGTAGTGACTCCAATTGATCTCAGCACAGGATTTTGACTGTATGTCTTCAATGGTCTGCAGAGA